CTCAAGGACTGTTTGAGCTTCTCCTGCTCGCCCAGGTGCATAACAAGCTGGGAGGGGGCACAGCCAGGACAGCTGACCCCAACTGACCAAAGGGCTATTCCATAGAATTATACCATATTCTATACCATAGAACATCAGGCTTGGCAGGGGTTAGTTGGTCGGTTGGTCACGGGGAGAATGATCGCGGCTTGGGGAGTGATCATGGCTCGGGACAAGCTGGGCATTGGTCAGCGGGTGGTGAGCAAGTGCATTGTGCATCGCTTATTTTGTATATTCTCTTACCATTCTCATGATTACTGCTGTTATTATTTTCTCTTATTAAACTGTCTGTCTCAGCCCACGGCTCTAACCTTTTCTTTTTCTTCCTGATTCTCTCCCCCCACCCCACTGAGGGAGGGGGGAGTGAGCGAGCGGCTGCGTGGTGCTGAGTTGCCAGCTGGGTTAAACCACGACACCCCCCCCCCCCAAAAAAAATACTCCTGAGGGGAGCTGGCTTCCCATGCACCTTTCTCCAGCACCCTTGACCGCCTGTGTCTGTGTGCGTGCACTGAGCTGGCGCGGAGCCGGGGGGCGACCGCGGTGCCCCAGGGCTGCCCGGCCTGGCAAGGTCCGACAGCAGCAAACACGCTGCAGCTTTGAGCACTGGGTTTGCATCAGCCTGCAACGTGCTCGCTCGCTTTGGTGTTCTCCATTTCACTGCATTCCTCAGATTAAACTGTTTGTAAATCAAAATCACGCTCTGGCTCCAGCAAGTGGCAGGGAGAGGCAGCCAGTAATCCCCCCCCCCCCCCGCCTCTACGTTAGGAAAAATAGCTTCCAGTTTTTAGGAGAGCCTTCAACTCACAGGAGCTCAAAGCTCTTCTAAAAGCTTCAACCTGAGGCTTAGGTGGGGTAACACTCCCTAAGAACATGGGTGTCAGGGTAGGAGTGGGGGGGCCCAGCCCACGCGATGGCCCCCACCGCATCCACCCACCAGCACCAGGGTGGGAAACCAGGGCTTTGGGGGAAAGCATCTGCCTTCAGCTCTTAAATGACCAAAAAACCCTTCAGCACATTCACTTTGTGTTTCACACCCAAGATGATGCTCCCTGGCCCAGCTGCGGTGCTGGCCCAGCTCAGGTTCCCCCATGGCAGCATCACCAGGGCTCCATGGGCAGACGCCCGGACCACAGCAGCCCTCGCCCCACTCTGACCCCCCCCCCAGCCATCGGCTCTGCCAAAACTTGTCCTCCCAAGCTGCTAACAAGGCTTGGACAAACCGGCACGTTGTGGCCGCTTGAGCAGGGTCTGCTGCTGTCACCTAAAACCGAGCCCAAATCCACAATCCCCACTTTGGTTGCTCCCAAACTGCCTGACTTATTGAAGAACCACGGCAGGCTTCAACCAGCAGCGCTGAGCCTTGGGGGCGCCGATCCTGGCACCACCGGTGAAGGACACGACCCTACCCCCCACCGCCCCTTGCTGCCTGGTCCCTCCTGTGCCAGACTGGCACGAAAATGCCACCATCACCCCCTTCATCCTCCCATGGGGGAGCCTAACTGTGTCCCCCAGGGGCTGCGGAAGGGGGGAATTTGCCCCCCACAAGCGATGGTGACCCCCCCCATAACAGCAGCAGTGGGATGCACTGTGCGGAGCGGGCTGCAAAGCCAGGGATGCCGGAGGCGATGCTCCGCAGGGAGCCGAACCGCATTTCCCAGGGAGGAGAGGGGAAGGAGGTGGGGGGGTTCCCTGCACCCAGCACCCAGGCAAGCCCAGATGCCACGTTCCTCCCAGCCTTGGGACCCACAGGGCGGCTGCCCCCGGGGGGGTGGGCTGGGAGGGGAGGGGGCTGTGGGGCTGCACCATGCAGGGTGCAGGAGGCTGCAGCGTGACTCAGAGGTGCAGAATGTCTGTGGGCAGCCGGCCCAGCTCCCAGATGCTTTGCAAGGGCTCGAGCTCTGCTGGAGGAAACGTGCGCTCTCCTCGCTCCACGTACGCCATCAGGAGCGCCCGCATTTTGCCGTCCCCTCCCCTTCCCACCCCGCCTGCCCACTCTTCGAAGTCTGCAACCTCGTTCCCACCCTCCTTCTCCCTGTTGGGAAGCATCCGTCCATTTTACGTCCCTTGGAAAGGAAAGCTGCACGCTCACATCCAAGAAAAGGGGAACGGCTGTGTGTGTAAGGGGCAGCCTGGGAGCAAAACCCTCAGATCCAGGCTGGGAGCCAGGGAAAGGATGGACGGCGTGAATCCAGGAGAGCTTGGCCCCCAGTCTCCTGCATCTGCCAGCTCTGCTCTCCCACCCCTGCAATGGGAAATGGAGCAAGGGCACCCTGGCTCCCACCTCTGCCCCGACCCCACCCCGGTGTTTCTCACGGCGGGGGGACCGGCAGGTCTGCAGCATTTTTGGGAGGTGCTGCTTGGCTTCACCACTGCCTCCAGTAAAACCAGAGCCTCGGCGCAGCCAGCCTGTCTCGTCCCCTGCTCCTTCAGGCTTTGCACCAGCCTCACCCTTGCCCTGGCTACGCCAAGGCTGTCCCGACGGGAGCCATCTCCCTTTGCTCCAGCGAACGGCTGCAACCACGGAGCCCGTTCTGCCCGGGGGCTCTCCTCTCTCCCGCTGTGACTTTCGGGATGCTCCATACAGCAGCCGGCTCCTTCCCCAAGGGGCCGGTCCCTCTTCCCACCATGGCACCCCAGCAGGACCCCAACAAGACTGAGAGCTCCTCCAGCCGCCTGCCCTCCTCCCCCTCTGCCTCCAGCCGATCCCAAGGACGGGGGCAGCGAGAGGGATCACGGCGCTGCTGGACGCCGCCCTTCGCTTTCCCTGGCTCCCGGTGACTCACGCTCAGTTAAAGCCTTTTGCTTTGATGTGGGAAAGAGCAGAGGGAGGAGGAGACAGCTTCCCACCACAGCTGCCCGCCTTTTTAATGAGCCCTGTTACTGATTAAACGGCAGCAGCCCAAAGCATGGGCACCTGGAGGTGTCCGGAGCTGCACGTGCCACCGTGGAGGGAAACACTCACATGTCACAGCTTCGGGGGCACCTGCAAGCTCGGCCCGGGGACCCTTCGTCAGGACTTTTCGGGACTCATCATCTTCCAGGGGTTTCTCATTCTTCGGTGCTGCAGGGCTGGCAGGGGGGCGGGTGGGCAGCCGGGGCTCTGCCGACGGTGCCGCTGGCGTCTGCCTCGGCGAAGGGTGCGAGGTCTCGCCCGCCTCTGCAAAAGAAACAGGGTTGGAGATGAGCACCCTGGGGTGCACCATGCCAAGGGCAGAGACCCCAGTCACCCAAACCCACAGCAACCCAGAGCTGCTGCTAACAGTGCCGGTCGGTGCTTTGGGACTCTGATTTTGGGCATGAGCCAAATCCAGCTGCCCTTGTTGGTTCTGCAGCCCGGGGTACACAGTGGGAGGAAGAGCTGGAGCCCTGCAAGGGATTTTGGGCTGCTGGGGATGGGCATCAGGGCTGCATCACTCTGCAGCCGCTCACCCCGCTGCAACGCCAGCAGTTCGGCAGCACCCTCCCAAAAACCTTCCCGAGGTCCCACATTCCTTCTCTAAAAAGCCAGGGGATCTGGTTACACTCAGCAGTTCACGCTGGATTTTTTATCCCCCCTTCCCATGAAAGGGCCACTGTCTTCCCTGCAGGAGCCAGCTGCCACCTCCCCTCCCGTTCCTGCTTGCTCTGGGACAGGAGCAGCCCCTGCGGGACCCCCTCGATGGGGCAAGCAAAACCCAAAAAAAGAGCTGTGTTATTCCCGGTGGGGATAAACCCCAGTGCCACACACCCCCTTGCAGAACCCCAGCGAGGAGAAGGCATAACCACCTCCTGCAGAGCCAGCACTGCGGGCTGGAGGCTGGCTGGGGGCCCATGGCAGGGTGTCCGGGGGG